AAAGGAAAGGAAAGGAAAGGAAAGGAAAGGAAAGGAAAGGAAAGGAAAGGAAAGGAAAGGAAAGGAAAGGAAAGGCTATAAAGAAGCAGCTTCCAATCTTCTTAACAGCAGTTACATCTTACTATCTTTGCTTTTTTGACTCACCCACTTCTGATGGATAGCCTGTTAGGTAACACAGACTTTCTTATTCAAACATTATTTTCTAAATAATGTTTTTTTTTTCTTTCACATAAGCACCAGCTTCCAGAATCCTAAATACAGACATTATTCTCCCAACTTTATGGTTTCTTCTACATACATTTTTTCCCACTTTGCCATATCTGGAACCAACACTTACACGTTTCTTCTTAATGGCAGGGCCCTGTCCACCTAGACAATATAACGCAGCTTACATCTTGACTGAACTATGCATAAGTAATATAGCCACATTGCTTGACTGCCAACAAGAACAAAAGAAAGGGCAACAGTATTAATAAAACACAGTTTTTCAACATAGCGAAACATTTTTTTTTCTTCCAGCCTTCTACTCTGTCACTGATGATTTATGTTGCTGGTAAATTATGTGAGTCCATTCATAATTATTACAGGTTTTCCAGTGGGTTGTATCATTTGGGGTCTCTGAAAGCACCAGCAATTCATAAGATTAATACCTCTTTCTGATCAGGAAAAGGATGAGCATTTTATTTCCCACCTTTATTTACTTCTTCCATAGATATGGATGACCTCCTCCTGGCTTGGCTCATAATTTAAAAAAAATTAATGATCATTAAAAAAGGAAACAGTGATTTTGAACTGAAAGTTACCCAGCACAGATGACCTTTCTAATCAAACAGAACGAGATACTTGTGTTATGTATTATTTTTTTAATTAGGTAGGCATAGATAGATATAGCTGATGTAGATGGAGATATTTCCATTTGTAGCCCACGGTTCATAGAAGGCTTTGCAGGGCAGAAAGCGATGTAAAATTACCAGGAATAAAACACTGCAAAGATCAACAGCAAGGCAAGAAAATTAGTTGCATTCAGTACAAAACTCAAAACTTTTTACCAAGAGCTGCTAAGTATTCGCTTAAGCATCCATTGGGGAGGCATGGAAAAACAAAACAAAACCCGGTGTTGTTTTAGTGATGTGCTGTTCATTTCTTTGGTAGGTATTTATATCCTACCTTTCTTCCAAAAGCTCAAAACAGTATACATAATGCTGACTCATACGGCATTTCTCCACAACAATCCTGTGAGGGACGTCGGGTTGAAAGACAGTGACTGAGCCAAACTCATCTTGTGAGCATCCATGGTTAAAAATAAACTTTAATCTTACTTAAACACTAAGTTCTATATTACACTGCCTCTCCATGTGAACATCACACTAACTGTGTTATTAATTTAATCCATGTTCTGGGTTTACAACTACATTAAACCATAGCACATCAAACCACCAAAAAAAAAAAAAAAAATCAAGGTTAAAATAACCAAGCTTATCAAATGCAACTCATGATTTCTGATTAAGCATGTTAGGCATGGACTTCTTTGTAATTCGTTCACTAGCATCATTGTTAATATTGTAGTCATTGTTATTATTTAGATTTATATGGACATCCATAAAGCAACTCTGGGTGGTCAGCACAATAAAAGCAGAAGTACAAAAACAAAATACAAAAATAAAAACACATTAAAAGCAAAGAGAATAAAAGGCCACAGAGGCCACCAGTCAAACAGCAAATTCATACAACTTATCAGCTCAACCACTTCCTGATTTCCATACTGGAGAGAAAAGCCACATTTTGCATTGTGGAAGGCCAGCAAGATTGAGGTGAATCTAATCTCGGGAGGAATGGTGTCACCAAATTATTTTGCTATAACCAGTCTTCTAGTTGTTTTGGTAAACTTGGTGTTTTCTAGACATTTTAGATTACAACTTCCATAAGTCATGCTGCCTAGGGAACTTCTGTCCAAAACATTTAGAAGACATCATTGTTGTTACTGCTAGTGATGAAAAATGGTTAGTCAAAAATTCCCTTGTCCACCTAATGGGTTCTCTTGAGAAAGGAAGGAAGTATTCTGTATTTTAGATAATATTTGTTGTTACTGGAAATTTACTGAGATGTTTCAGTGTTATGACGCATACATGGAAGTAATCTATGGAAGATGGGACTTATATTCGAATGAAGATGCCTAAAATATGTGTATTAAAATGCTGAGCATTTTAATT